TTATTTACGTGTACACAGGAGATTCACCTATTTTACAAATCAAATCACACCTAGTTTACAAATCTAATCATAGAACGTATTTAGACAAACCCAACTAAAGTAAGGCCCATATATATCTTGACCAAATACCGATCCAACCCAACCCCTGATTTTGAAAACCATCTTTGAGGCGAAGCAAGTTAATCCTAACTTATAGTGCAAAATGTTGAAGGTTTACATAATACAAGGGCCTAAAATTAAATATAAGAAACATATCAGCATAAACCCTAAAAGCCCTAAAATCTTTCGTATATAAAAGCAATCAGTCACAGAGTCTTCTACAATCGCCACCACCGCTCATCTCTCTCGTTTTCTCTCTTCCTTCACGTCTTTCGTTCAGTCTCCTTCTATCTCTAGCAAAAATGAGACCTCCACTTACAGGTAATAACCCTAAGGCCTGCCTTCTTCTTCTTGTGTCAAATCTGAACTCATTTCATTGCGATTTCTGTAGCTTAAATGATTTTTAGGGTTTTGTTGTTGAATCATTTGCGTCTTCTTCACTGATTCAATCCAATATTGAAACGAAAATGGAGATTTTTAATGACATACTCTTGTGAGGATTTATTTGGGTTTATGTGTTTGGTTATAAGCAGGAGGACGTGGTGGTGGTGGTGGATTTAGAGGTCGTGGCGGAGATGGAGGGTTCAGGGGTGGACGCGGTGACCGAGGCCGTGGTGGCGGCGGAAGAGGAGGTTTTGCCACGAGAGGTCGTGGTGGAGGCCGTGGTGATCGTGGCCGTGGTGGACGCGGTGACCGTGGCCGTGGAGGTCGTGGAGGAATGAAAGGAGGAAGCAAAGTCATTGTGGAGCCTCACAGACACGCAGGAGTGTTCATAGCTAAGGGTAAAGAAGATGCACTTGTTACTAAGAACTTGGTTCCTGGTGAAGCCGTTTACAACGAGAAGAGGATCTCTGTTCAGGTATGGTTTCTTCTCTTGTGGGTGCTTGAAAGTTTGTGTTTTTATATTTCCTCTTAGATGGGAAGTTGTGTTAGAATCGGATATGAAAGATGGAATCAGATCATTGTTGTTTTAGTCTTAATAGTATTAGCTTGTGTTTGGATTTTGTAGAACGAAGATGGAACTAAGGTTGAATACAGAGTTTGGAACCCTTTCCGCTCTAAATTAGCTGCTGCTATTCTCGGTGGTGTTGATAACATTTGGATCGTAAGTCCCATGCTACACATGTGGAAACGTATACTAACAATTGTTTTATCTCTTATTGGAAGTATATAATGACTTGGGTTCTTGAATTGTAGAAACCTGGTGCCAAAGTTCTTTACCTTGGTGCTGCTTCTGGAACCACCGTCTCTCATGTGTCTGATCTTGTTGGCCCTGTAAGTGAAAGCCTATTACTAATCCATGATGTGTTCTTCTGCTAATTTGGCCTCTTATCTTTAACTGTCCTCTGTTTTTACTTGTATTGCTTTAATGATTGGCAGGAGGGATGTGTTTATGCTGTTGAGTTTTCTCACAGAAGTGGTAGAGATTTGGTGAACATGGCAAAGAAGAGAACTAATGTTATTCCAATCATTGAAGATGCTAGACACCCTGCTAAGTACAGAATGCTTGTAGGCATGGTTGATGTCATATTTTCTGATGTTGCTCAACCTGATCAGGTTTGGTTCTTCATTATTTCTTACCATGAAAGCTTGAAGACTACTTTATATAGTTACTTTATATTGCATTGCATTGCATCTTTTGCTTTTATAAAAAAACAGCACAATGAAATTGGCAGATGATGAGTTTACTTGGATTCCCCTTCAGAACATTATGGGTGTTGAAAACTCCAAGCTTCTGATGCTACTTTGAATC